AAAGTCAGCTTTGCCATGGCTAACCCTTGGGAAGGGTGAGGCGTGATCTTGGGAAGAGCCGTGTACACTCAGGTTTCCCTGCAGCAAGACCTCTCTTTTTTCTCCCTTCTCTCCATTCACCAACTTGCCCCTGAAAGCAAAGGAGATACTTTGTTTAGCAGTTTCACCCTGATACAAATACAATCTGCTGTCACAGCCCAGGGATTAGTGTCCTGAGATGGGATTATATTGCAGCAAAACAGGAATTGAATGTGGTGGGTATGGACTATCAAAAAGAGCAGTGACCCTTTTCTTGGGAAGCGTTAGAGGCAGAGATCAATCTGTGGTCATGACATGATGAGGCCTTGATGAGACTTGTGCGTGGAGACCTTGCCTGAAGTTCAGCTGGAATAAATCTTTAGGGCCAGGGCCAGTGATGTAAAAGCTGGGTGGGTGATCCCTCATGGCAGTTGGCACAGGGCCTCTGCTCCATGGTAAGGGGAGACTTTCCTCAGCCTGAATCCCCACACTTCCTTAACACACAAGCTTGGGAAACCTGCACCAGCAACCCCTGTGCCTCCATCCTCCCCAGGGTAACAGGAAAAAGACAGTTTGATGTGTGTGTTTCAATTGCCCTTTCCCTGGCGATAGGTCCAGCACATCAGTGCACTCACACAACCGCCCTATGATCCATGTAGGGGTGCTGGCTAGTTCCTGGCTTGATGAGGACATGTTGGGGGTGAGGGGCCAATATCCACATCTCTGGCTTGCTTTGCCCAAAGTTGGCTTGGGTGATTAGACTGATGGCCTCCTGACGTCAGATGAGATCCGTTAAAAGGTATTTATCTCAGGCTTGGGCCAAAGCCGTGGGAGAGATTAAAAGAGATTGAGGCCAAGATAATCCCCTCGCAGCATCCCACTAAAGTGGCTGCCAAAAGGCATGCCACCAAATCTTCTGCCACCCCTAACCCTTATGCCCAGTTCTGGTTCCCCCATACAGAGCCCAGTTTGCTGCCCAGAGAGGGGGTGAGCGTGGCGCTGCCATTGGTTTTCCCTTTGCAAGGCCACTGTAGGTGGCACCATCCCTCTTCCCAACATACCCAGCACATGAGTGGTGGCACCCTGGGAAAACGGGAATTCCTGTGCACTGTGAGGTGCAGCAAGCCCTGCCCCAGTGGCTGGTTAATCCTGGCCTGTTCTGGCTAATCTGCACTTCATTAGTTGCTGATATGAACAGAAGGAGCCCAATGCGCCCATGATGGCTTCTTTCCCTTCAGGAGCAGCGTGCTACTCTCTCTTTTCACCCCTCCCCATCCCACCTGCTTTGCATTACGTCCCAATCCGATTTCCCCAAGTCTCTGGTGTCTGATTTAATTTGCCTGACGCTGCTCCTGGAATCAGCCCTCCCCCAACCCCTCCCGTCCACAGCCTTCCCATGGGGAGATCAGTCCCTGGAGGGGCTGAGGAGCAGAGCGGGAGCAAGGGACTCGCTGTGAGGACGTGCTGGACTGAGTGGACACCGCACAGTGACAAGGGGCTTCTGCCTGGCGGGGAGCCGTGTCTCAGCAGGGGAAAGAGGCTGTGAGGGTCCCATCCAGGGGGGACCACAACTTAACCTTGCTCTACAGATCCCGGTAAGGATGCTGCCTTCTTGTGATGCCTGAGGTCACCTTGGTGAGCCCGGCGTTTGGGAGCCTGAGTTTCTTGGTGTGGTTTTGTAGGGAGTCTTTGTACAAGGGCTGATTCCATCAGAGGATGTGGGAGGGAAGATGATGGTGGGGAAGGGATTTAGGTTAGCACTCAGATGTCTTTACAATGATGAAGGGTTTTGCACCGGGATGGGGTTGCTTGTTCTCCCCTTGGCAGGTGAATCTCACCAGTTTCCGGACTGGAACAGGGGGGTTACACTTCCTCTGAGGGACCTGGTACTCACTATGGCACACAGTCCTGCACTCGTGGTGCACCACTGTGCACACCTATTTGCAGCTAACTGCTTTTATGGATGGAGAAGGAGCCCTCAGAAAGTAAGGAGCAGAGCAGGGTAATTTTACCCTGGCCTTTGATCTCCATCGCAGGTGAGAGGGATCATCTCTGTATCCGGCTCTGCAAGGAGCCCAGGGTCACCAGGGCAAGCATGCAAAGTCCAGCTAGGGATTACACAGAGACCCAGGACTGCTGCCTATTAATATTCAGTCCTCCCTCCTGCACCTTTTCTAACTACAGTCCTCCTGAAGAGGGACCACTCCCTCCCCAGGGAGGAGAAAGCTGCCTGGAGCATAGGAAACAAAGGGGTTCACCTCCCCTTTCCCCCCACCCATCATTTGTGCCCTGATCCCCACAAGAGTGATGCAGGTGGCTCAGCAGGACAGCCCTTGGGGTGCAGGCTGGGCCCCAGCCATGGCATGGTGCAAGGGATGCAGCCACTGTCCTGGGATGTCATGGTATGGCAGCAAAAGGTGAATGATTCTGGGTCTCTATCATTCTTAGAGCATAGTAGAGGCATTTGGTCTGCTACAAACAGACACCCAAGGGCTCAGGATGGGTCTGGCTGCTCACAGACAGGAGCACTACAGCAGATGCCTCCAGCAAGCGTGTCAGGGAAGGCAGGAGGGGAAAGGACTGTCGTGTCAGCAGAAGAATTAAACGTGGTGTCTAAAGCCAAGAACTGTGAACTGGATGAGCACAGCCAAGGCAGAGCTCAGAAGAGGGCTGGCTTGAACTGACTCTGGACCAGTGCTGGTGCAAAGATCCTCCTGGCAGTAGCTCTTTGCAATGCAAATGGTGACGAATTGCTTTTCCAAAGGTACCTAAGGACTTGGTTTCCTCTACTGCTTAGCATCTGCATGCAAGAGCCCTGACTTTGAGAAAGCATCAAGTATGCACTGTTTGGAAGCCTTTCCTATTAAAACCAGCCTGGGCAGCTACCATGAGAGACCATGAGCTGAGCTGCGGATCCGAAACAAATGTGCATCCCTAGGGTCCCACTGGTCATGGCAGGAACATGCCTTGGCTTGACTCCAAGCTCCATTCCTCTTTCCTCTGTTCTTCCTCCATTTGCTTCCCCCATTTCCTGTCCTAAACGTACATGACCACGAGGAGCTGCTCTTTCACACCCCCGCCATGGTGCTCCTGGGAGGCAGCTGAGGACCAGGTAACTCACTCTTCACAGCCTGCAGTGGGATGTAATGGCTGGAGGCGACAGGCAAAGCTGGAGCTATTATTATCGCTCATCTGTGGCTCCTTGTCCTTGTGAGGCTGAGAACAATTCCCAACTTCATTTAGAGTGTTCCCCCCAGAGGGATTTAAAGGTCCGGACAGAGTCCTGAACCCGAGCTGCACCTTCTCTATATTTAGCCCTTTTTATCCACCCTCAACATCACGCCCCTACCCTTTTACCTGTCTACCAGCTCCAAAAAAAACCCTTGTCTCGTTGTGCATCTTCACAGAGCAGGAGCCTGTGAACCGGTGCTCCCATGGTAGTGCCAGAGTTGAGAAAGAGGGGAAGAGCATGGTAAAAGAGGAGAGAAGCGAAGAAGGCTGGGGTTCCGATGTGCCATGAGGAGAAAGTGCAGCCAGCTTCACGTGGGGCACAAGTTGGAAGGAAAACAAGGCTCCTCTCTCCATGCAGGCCTGGGTGGGCAAAACCAGAAGTCCACAAAGACAAGTTAGGGCAGGTGGATGGACAATAATCTCAGATGGCCAAAGGTGTGTGAAGTAACAGCCTGGAGAGCTTGTAGACCAAGCAGTTGAGACTGAGAGGAGACAGGGGGAAGAGGTGTCGCAGCAAGAAAAGGCAGTGCAGTGCCTAGGGCTGATGGAGGGAAAACAGAGAAAGGGGAAGGAGTGGACCACGATGGTAGGGCTGTTCTTCACAGGGTGACTGGAAGTTCAGGTTTGCCACTTGGTTTGTTGGTAGGCAGTGACCAGAGCTGGATGCAGTTTTTGCAGCTTGACTGTACACTGAAACTGAGGGACAAACACCACAAGATAAGGAGGATGCTTCCTTCCAGAAGGCCTTCTGAAAGCTGAAAGGCCTCCAGCATCTCACCAGTCTGTCACTTAGCTGAGAGATGGTGTGGGGTGCCCAGCTCCTTCCCAAAGGGTAAGTGCATGGAGGTGAGCTTCTATGTCCAGCGTCGCTCGACCAGGTGCATCCCTGCATCCTTGCTGTTCCCTCATCACTGTTCTGTCTAAAGGAGAGAGAAAAACAACAGTGAAAAGGGCATAGCTCATGTGCTGGTCAGTCCCCATCCTTCAGTGTGGCTGAGGCACGTGCCTCTGGGCTCGGACTGCAGCCCTGGGCTCCTTTTCTGCTCCCTTGCCATGTATTGGGGCCAGCAGCCACATCCAGTGCATGAGCAGGGGGCAGGCAGCGGTGCTATGGCTCTGTTCAGGCTTGAGCGCAGCAGGTGCAAGCCTTTCTCTGCAAATATAGCCTGAAATAGCTTCCCTCCTGGGGTAGGATCATGCTTTCCAGGAGCCTTCCAGGAGCTAGGGGAAACCTGTATCCCCCTGTATTTCCCAAAGTCAAAACCATGCTGCAGGAGTCATTGACCAAGCAGAAACTTACTCTGCCTGGAGGAATAAAGCAAAGCCACGGAGACATTAGGGGAAGGGATTCTGGAGGGGAACTCAGAGAGCTCTATGAAGTAGCAAGCAAAGGTGGGACCTGGAAGATACCTCCATGAGCTTGCCCTCAGCAAGAGTGCAGCCTGGCCTGGCAGGACCCAAAACCCTGTTGGCTGGAAGAAATGAGGCCTTCACACAGCAGGCCAGAGGGGGATGGAGGTGGTGTGACCCACATGGATTAGGAGATTGGCCTTGGGGCACAGCACTGGTTCTAATGGTGAACAACATGTAGAGCATTTCTGGACACTCACACCTATCCAGGAGAAAGATCGAAGCAATTAAAGACCCAGTTTGGCTACAAGAGTGGGAGATGCTGGAATCACTGGGGAAGATTTAAGTGCACACAAAAGAGGACAGAGCTGCTGCGTGCACATGGATCTTGGATATGGATTGCAGTTCTGGTTCACTGCTGTCTTCAAAAGCAGATCACCTACACTCTGTAAACAACCTAAAAGGGCCTAGAGAACAACAGAAGTAGTGGAATGCAGTGACTTACATGGGAGGAATGACTGAGTGTGCTCTGGAGTCTGGAAAAGAGATGGATGAAGACAGATATGACAAAGACCTGTAAAATACCAAGTGATGCTGGGGTGAATAGACACTAGTTGTTTGCTGATTGTTCCAACTCAAAAGCTAGGGACCACCAAGTGGAACTAGTGCCTTTGCGGAGTAACAGAACAGATCTTCTTTGCAGAGCCTGAGGGTACAGAGGACGCTAAACTTTGACATAGGCACAAAAATTGTGCGGACAAATGAATAGAAGAAAATTCCATCAAGGATTTTCAACTAATGCTGCCTCTAGCTTTGAACATCAATGAAAGGCTGGGGCTAGGAAAGTAGGAGAAATACCACTATCTACTTATGTAGGTCCTTACAGATCCTTTTCCCTTGATGGTCAAAGATCACCCCCCAGGTGGGCACAGCCTGGTGATGCTTTTGCCTAGGACAAATGATCTGAGACAGCCATGGGGCTCCTCCTCCTGGATCTGAGGGGGACAGCTTGGCCACGGACAGGAAGAAGCCAATGAGGCAGACCCAGAACTTGGCAGGGCTTGGGATGGAAAGATTAAAAACAAAGAGGTGAGGGCACAAGTGCTTCCAGAACCCCCGTCAGAAGCTCTAGAGGTCTTCAGCTTCTCAGTGTATTCGTAAGCAGGATACCAGACCAAACGGACCTTTGATCAGGCCAAGTACGATCTTGCTAAAGGCTTTGACCAGCTACAGCACATTACCAAGCAGTCAGGCAAGAAATGGCTGCACAGCTTTTATTAGAGGTGCCTACATTTGCATAACTGAGCAGTCACATCAGTGCCCTTTCTATTTCACACCTCTCTCCCTGGATTTCTCTCCCCAGAATCAAGGTTGCCGCACAAGGAAGAGCCACCTCTAGGTCAGAAAGATGGGGGAAATGGAACAGATGAAGCAGGAGGCTGAGCAGCTGAAGAAGCAGATTGCGGTAATGTTGGCAACAGTCATGAAACTGCTAAGAGGGTGTCTACCCCCTGTCCACGTTGTCCTCCTCAGCCACAATGAGGGGTTGTGCTTTCTCCATCTACATACTTGAGCCCCTGCAGTTCTGCACAGACCTTTAAGTGCTGGTAGAGATCATCATAGTATGGTCGGGGGAAGAAAGGGAAAGGAAAGGAATGAAGAAGGGACACTACAATAATGAGAAAGAAGTAGCTACCAGAGTTGTGTCTGCACAGGGCCAGAGTGTAGTGTGTCCCCAGGACCTCTGTTCTACCAGCTGGGAGGACCCATGGAAAGGGTGTCCATTGGGGCACCGGATGCTGAGCAGCTTTTGGCTCACCCTTCTGAGGTTTGACTGCTGCCAAGGTGCTCTGGTCACAGACCAGGATCTCCCTGTGCTGGCCACAGTCAAAACACAGCAAAGCCGCAGTTCCTTCTTGTAGCATTCCCTACGCCATGCCCCTACATTCCATATTGCTGTCATCACACGGCTTCTTTCCTGACCCTCTGCTCTTGTCTCTTCTCCAGGATGCCCGGAAAGCCTGTGCAGACACAACGCTTGCTCAGGTAAGGACAGAGCTGGCCAGGCACATGGGGGTGTCGTGGTGTCAGCCAGCACCACTCCAAGGGGGACTCTCTCCAGCTGGGAATGGAGTTAGGAGGCAGCGATGTGGGAAGAATACAGCTCCTGCAAGTCCCAGGTGAACTCTTCCTCTCCCCCTGTTTCCTCAGATCGTGTCCGGTGTGGAGGTTGTTGGCCGCATCCAGATGCGGACCCGAAGAACCCTGCGTGGGCACCTGGCCAAGATCTACGCCATGCACTGGTCCACAGACTCCAAGTGAGAGACATGCAGGGCAGCACATGGGTGTGAAGGGCAAGAAAGCTCTGATGGAAAGAGATCTACTAACAGGATCTTGTTCCTCTCTTACAGACTTCTGGTCAGTGCCTCACAAGATGGGAAACTGATCGTGTGGGACACATACACAACTAACAAGGTAGGAGTCAGATGGCTGCAGCAAACCAGGATGCTGAAGTGGGTCCCCTTGGAGCTAATGCCCTTGTCCTGCTCTCTCTGCTGCCAGAAGCCCGACATGGTTTCTTGTCCTCCCAGGTTCATGCCATCCCTTTGCGTTCTTCCTGGGTCATGACCTGTGCCTATGCTCCCTCGGGCAATTTTGTGGCCTGTGGAGGCCTTGACAACATGTGCTCCATCTACAGCCTCAAGACTCGTGAAGGCAACGTCAAAGTGAGCAGGGAGCTCTCAGCCCATACAGGTGTGTGTGCTCCCTGCCTGCAGCCTGGGTGCCCTCTGCTTCCAAACCTTACTCCCGTAGCCCTGCCCCATTTCTCATATTTGCTTGTTCCCACCTCCCTCCCAGGTTACCTCTCCTGCTGCCGATTTCTTGATGACAACAACATTGTGACTAGCTCTGGAGATACCACATGGTGAGTGTTACCTTCTGCATCTGCATCCCAGTGATGTGATCTCTGGTGCCAAGAGGACAGTGCAGTACTTTAGTTTTATAGCAGTCCACTAAGGACTAATTCCTCCTACGCATGGAGGCCACAAAAAGCACCTTGGGAAGCCATATTCATTCTTCCTCCAGAACACGTGCTTCTCATCCCAGTGGACGACATGTCAAAATGCAGGTCTACTTGATGAAGCAGTAAGGAGCATGTCGTCAGCTCTCACAAAGCAGAGCGTCATGACAGAAAACACGATCAGTTTATGTGGAAGAACCTCTTGACTGAGGATGAGACAGGATGTAGCATTTCCAACAGAGATCAAGGTTACACTGAGCTTGTTTGCCTGGCTGCAGCATGGGATCCCAGCAAACATGGCCCATGCATCCTATGAGTGTGGATACAGCAGACCTTTGTCACCTGCTTGCCTGTGGGGTCTTCTTGACCTTCTCTCAATATTTCCTTCAACTGTTGCAGTTATGGGTATAGGGTCAAATCTCACACACCCCCAGCCTTAGTCTAACTCTGCTTTGGCAAAGGTATGACTAGTAACAGCTGTGAAGACACCTCCTGTGGTATACAGCTGACTCCAGGGATACCCTCATTTTCCCATGCTTAGCCAGACCCATGGCTGCCCTCCTTCTGCCTGGGAGTGCGGCAGCTCTTTAGCCCATTGATAGCTCTGTTCTGCCTGGGACGGCTCTGCTAACCTCTCTCTTCTCCCACAGCGCGCTCTGGGACATTGAGACAGGGCAGCAGAAGACGGTGTTCCTGGGTCACACCGGTGACTGCATGAGCTTGGCCGTCTCCCCAGACTTCAAACTCTTCATCTCTGGGGCTTGCGATGCTACAGCCAAACTGTGGGACGTGCGAGAGGGCACCTGCCGCCAGACCTTCTCAGGGCACGAGTCTGATATCAACGCCATCTGTGTACGTATGCTGGCTGCACAGTGCTGGGGAGGCAAGGAAAATGCACCAGCTCTGAAATGGGGTCTTGGGACAAGGTGAAAGAAGCTGTCATAGTTGTGTACGGAACAAGGGTCTCAGGAGACCTTCCTTGGCCCCGTGATCCAGATTGAAGCAGGAAGAGCCTGAGTTCACTGAAGTTTGGAGGCTGGCTCTTCCTGGGGAGGTCTTCTGAAGATTAAACCTTCACAGGAAGCAACACAGATGTTTGGGGGCAAGTATCCCCCTCAGAGGAAAGGATTCAAGCCAGAGCCCTAGAGGTAGCAGGACAAGGAACATGTTAGTTTAATCCCATGTGGCTAACCAAATGAGTCTGCCAGCTTCCTGCAACGTCTGTTGCTCGAACCACCCTTCACTGGCTTTGGTTAGTACAGATTTTCTCACCTCCCCAATGGCTGCTCTGCCATCCACACAATTTTCTGCCATACTTGCCACTGAGAAGCCCTTCTTTGCTCCTCGTAGCAAGGACACAGAAGTGTGTATGAGAAGGTTGGGGTATGAGGATCAGAGGAAGGCTCTCGTAGCTCTGAATCATGTCAGACCCCATCTGGCAAATCATGGGTGGACACTTGTCGACCCCCAAAATAACAGCTGGAGTTAAAGAGACACTGGTGTCCTTCCTCAAGACTATAGCGTCTTGCAGCAGCTCTAGCCCCTAGGTTATTTATTTTCACAAGGTGATATGGCTTTACTAGATCTTAGGATAAGGTCTCCCCGTTCAGCAGACTGGACTTTTATGTTCCAGTGTTTTGTCCCACTGAGTTTTCCTACCTCTGTGTCTTCACGGTGGTTAACAGGGAGGTGAAGAGGTGAGGAAATCTGTAAGGCACAGCCTAAATAAAACCTGGTATGTGCCCTCCTCAGTTCTTCCCTAACGGTGAAGCCATCTGCACCGGCTCCGATGATGCCACCTGCCGCCTCTTTGACCTCCGGGCAGACCAGGAGCTTATCGTGTACTCTCATGAGAGCATCATCTGCGGGATCACATCCGTCGCCTTCTCCCGCAGCGGGCGCCTCTTGCTTGCTGGATATGACGACTTCAACTGCAACATCTGGGACTCCCTGAAAGCAGAGCGTGTGGGTGAGTGGCTCCTGGGGGTGCTCCTTTCATTCCCTGCAAGGTTGTCTGTGCCTGCCAAGGCAAGGAAGAGGCCTTAATCTTTTCTAAAAGGGGCACATCCTACACTGACTGATACCCCACAAAGCTTCCTCACACTTAAGGAGCACACCATAACTAATACAGCTCTCTTGTGTAGAGCTCTTTAATGCTAAGGAAGTCATGTGTGTAAACAATGTTGTTTCAAGGGGGAAAAGAGCATTAAGGTTCCTATTAGCTACAACTGCTCACAAGCACCAGTAGAATTTCCTACCTTTTCCCAGCCTCTGCCTTTTGCCAGGTCCAGCTACTCACAGTACCACTTGATGGCAGGGCACCGAGCTGAGTATGGACCCGAGCTTCCATCCAACCCCTTTGGGATGCTCATGCATAGAATATACCCAAGTGCAATGTTGTTTCAGATGCGGCCCCTAGCCTCTGAATACTTACAATGTAGTCTATGCAGAAATAGCATAGATATTTCTCAGACTTACCAAGGATGCCACATTGTTTCTTAGTCCTACCATTGCTCTAGGGTGAAAGCAGTTGTATTAGGATTCTGCTAGTCAGACCTTCCCAAGAATACTGTTCTTTGGCCAGTCCTAAGGGTGGGTGGTGGTTGCATGCCATGCACAAAAGTTCTTCTGCATGTTTGTTCTTATTAGCCACATGCTGATCATAACACGTTGTGTAACTATACACAGGGGTGTAGGTACGCAGCCTACAGTGCATGTCCTCAGTCATCACTTTCATCAGTCCCAGGCCCCATTCCTTTTCCTGACCTCTCTTCTTTCCCCCCATAGGAATCCTTTCTGGCCATGACAACAGAGTGAGCTGCTTGGGGGTGACAGCAGATGGCATGGCCGTTGCCACCGGCTCCTGGGACAGCTTCCTCAAGATCTGGAACTGAAGCCAGAAGCAGAGAGGGAAAGAGCACAGAAGCATGGTCCACAACCAGAGCCCATGCAAACAGCATTGTCAGCTGAGCACAACGAAATGCCTACCTATCACTCCCGCTTGTCTCTAGACACAGGTCGCTTGTAGGGGTCTCCCAGAGTGAAAGGGAAAGGAGAGTTTGGGGAGGGGGAGCTGGGGAGCAGGAACACACACTGGCCCTTCTCTTCACCTCTAAACAGGCCCAGCAGCTTCCAGCCTTGTGCAGGCTTGAACACCTGCAAAACTCTGTTCATTATATCTCAGGACTTTACATTACAGTTCAGACACCCTGCGTCTTCCTTCAAACACCTCTACCTGCATCAACAGCCATCCTTCAGAGGGCCCCACATCCTGCACCTCTGTCCCAGACAACTCTACCTGTGCTTCTCTGTGCAGCTGCCTTGTATCCCTGCAGGCAACCTCAGAGACATACTGGGTTTGAGAATTCTATCATACAACCTCAGACAAAAAGCTAGTGTAAATTGGGCTCATTTTCCATTGGGGAAGACTTAGCTCAAATCTTATCTATGCATAAATGAGGGAGAGATAGCCCTCAGGCCTGATGGAATACCGGGAATCATTATATTTATTCTTATTTATTGTCTGCTTCTTGCTGTTCCTTCTCTTTTTGCCTCATCCCTGCATTGTGTGGTGACCCTGTCAAACCAGTAGCCATCAACCCGTTTTCAAGTCTGTTACAGACCTCCATAGCCCAGGCAAATAAAGAAAGTTCACATAAGCACAGCAGGCTGTGTTCTTTCCATCACTGCAATGAGCTACTGCAAACATCACTCTCTTTCTGTGAATACTGTCTGCTGACCCCATCCAAATAGCATCTCATCCCAAGGCCTTGCTCTTCCTTCAAAATGCCCTCACCTATGTTTTCAGTTGAGAAGAGGCTGTTAGTCCCTACATTGCTGCCCTAGAGCTGAAAATGTATCCTTGCACACCTTGTAGTTACAAGCTCTGTTATAAGGGACAGGCATCATGTTCAACCAGCCACTATTCTACTTGTTGGCTCACACCAACATCCTGGGGTCCCAAAGGGAGAGCTGAAGGTCAAGAAGGTGTAGCAACTTATCTACAGAAGGCCAAAATATTAACCCATAGCATTAACTGATCCTGTTCTGAATCCATCGTGAGCAAAACCCCTGCAGTAGGCTATAGTCCTCTGTATAGATTAGTTTCAGGCCAGTGTAGGAGCAGCAGAACTCCAGAAGTGACACTAGTGACCTACAGAGAGCTGCAGTTTCCCAGCTCACTCTATAGTATACTGGTTAATGGTCAGACCTTTCCCAGCACAGCTCCATGTTGGCGTGCTACAGGCAGGGACACAGATGAGGTTCAGGGCTAATATAACCCGGAGTTCAAGCCTGTTCCTGAGTCTTTGTCCTCAAAGGAAACATTGCACTGGGCAACCAGGGAACTCCTACTGTCTTATAAGGACATAGGTAGAGTCAGCAAAGATTTAATACAAATTTATTTAATACCGATAAGAACACTGCAGTAAGTCAATACAGCTGATATACAACAGAAGAGCTGAAGATGGTACTGTACACAAGACGTGCAAAGCTTGGAGGGAAGAAAGAGCGCTCTTTCCCAAAGAGGGATAGGTGAGAAAAGTGACCACAAGTCTGAAGTTTCAGTCTATTGTAGAATTTCTCACCCCAGAAGACTCTCAAAACATAGAAGCAAATTACAGCAAGATCCTGGAAGAGGAAATGCCTAGTTCTCCACAAAAGGGCACTGTTGGTTTTCTTTGTTCAAGTCACTCCAAGCACAGTTTCCAGATTTAAGGCTCCTGCTCAGGTCCACCATCACTTCCTTCTTTTCCCCAAGGCTCTCTCCCAGTATGTGCCTCTTACCCTGGAGAAATAAAATACAGTACAAACCACAAGTTAATTGAAGGTTAGTTAGTTCTCAGTGGAAAGTGTAGCCCATTTTAAGGCCATTCAGCTTTGGCTCTCTTGTGGTAGTGTTTAAGTGATAGATTTCTTTTTACAGCCTAAAGAGAAAGGATGCACCGATATGGACAATATCATGGCAAGGCCAGATACAGACACTGAACAAGACTAGAGGGCATCTAGGGACAAGACTGACTCACATGAAGTCACTAGGCTCTACAGATCTAGGAGACCACAGTTCCAAACTGGGGCCCTACAAAGTACAGAAAATGACAGATTGGAGATTTCTCCCCCAGCCCATTCTCCCTCCCACAGTAGGGCCCATTAAGCTTTACCTGTCGAGGGGCAGGAGCATTGGGGGAATTATCATCTTGTAGGATGCTGAGAGGAGAGCGGCCAGTTCCACCAGATGTTGCTAGGATTTTGTTGTTGGTCTTGTATCTTACGGGCTTGCTCCCTGGTGACAGAAGGAAACACAACAGTCTGTCATGATAAGGCGGTATTTTAAATGCTTCACAACCTTTCTGATCTATCTTTCCTGCCTGTGCAGAAACCATTACCTAAGGACTTCCATGTAAAGGGATCACAAAGGCTGACGTTAGAAGGGAGCTTGGAAGACGTGGTCCAAGACCCCTGCTTCCGCAGGGCCACCTACAGCCAGTTGCCCAGGACTATGTCCAAATGGCTTGTGACTCTCTTCAAGAACAGAGATTCCGAAGTATCTCTGGGCAACCTGCTCCACAGCTCAGTCATCCCAAAGTGAACAAAACATTTCCTGATGCTCAGAAGGAGTCTTCTGCGTTCCACTTGTCTCTGGTCCTATGACTGGGCACTACTGAAGAGCCTGGTTCTCTCTTCCATATACCCTGCCTTCAGGTATTTATTACCACCCTTGCTCCCCAGCTCTTCCCAAGGAGAAACTGCAAGGTCCCACTGAACAAACCTCCACAATTTCAAAGCTATTTCAGAGCTAAGAGCTGACATTTACCTCTCGATTCTGACTAGACTGCAAACACATCTTTGCAGCTGCTGACAGAAACCAGTTGGAGAAAAGAACAGTTCCCAAGGGACTGCCAGCTGCAGAGACCCGAGGCCAGACTACCTAAGGCAATGGGAGACAGCCAAGCTGGGGAGAATGAATAAGGCCTCTAAGCAAGCCAGCCTGGAGAAGGGCACCAGGGGTGCTGAGAGCCCCAACTGCTCACACTAGGGACCATGCAGCTCCCCAGGGACACGGAGCAGTACCCGTGTTCCACCACACCGAGCAATTACCAGAGAAGAAGCCGGGGCCGGCGGTGCGGGCTGGCCGAGCCGGAACTGCGCTGGGAGAGGGCGGCTTCTCCTCTGCTTCTCCCGAAGAGGCGGCCACTTCCGGAGGGCTCCTCCGGGCCGGCTCCTCGGCGGGATAAGCCGCTGCCGGCGGCGCCGGCTCCCGGGGCGTGGCCCCGGTCCCGAAGACCTCGCTGAGCTGCTTCACCAGGCTGTCCACGCTGTCTGCCGGGGAAAGAACAACAGGATGATGCGCTGAGCCAGGCAACCCTCCCGCCCTCCCGCTGCGGCCTCACTCACCGCTGGACACGGCTCTCATGGGCGTGCGGAAGATACCGGGTGTAGGCGAACGCGGATCACGGTCCTGGCTGGTGCTCGGTGCCAGCTCTGCGAGGCCGGGCTGAGGGCTGCACACAGGGGAGCTCACCACCTGCAGAGAGGGCAGGGGTCGGGTCGGGGGCCGCCGGGGGAGGCAGGGGCGGCCGGCGGGAGGGCGCCTACCTCGATGGGGGTGCGCAGGATGCCGGCGCTGGGGGAGCGCGGGTCGCTGACGTGCGCCAAGTGCTGGCTGCGGGCGGGGGTACTGCCGGAGACCCCCATGGCGGCGGCCGCCGCACAGCGCTCTTGCCAGGCCCCAACCGCCGCCCGGGTTCAAATCTCCCGCGCTGCCCGCAGACGCCGCCCCATTGGCCCTCTCACGGAGGCGGGGCCAGCCCCGCCCTCTGCCCCGCCCTCTGCCGCGCACCACCCCCGAGGGACGCCATGCGGAGCCGCAGCCCCTTCCCGCCCCGTCCCGCCCCGCCCGCTGTCAATCGCCGGGGAGCTCCTCGGTCCCGCCCCGCTCCGCGTCGCCATTGGTGGAGGAGCCAGGCACCGCCTCCCGTGACGGCAGAAGGGTGGCTGCGATTGGGCGAGCCGTACGGGCTGGGCCGTGGGCCCGGCCCTCAGCCTCGCTGCCGGCGCGCCCGTGCTGCGCGGGATTGGTCAGAGCCCGCCTGACTGTGCTGTGCTGTGATTGGCTAGGGTGGGGCTGCGGGCGGTGCCGCAGGGAGCGGCTGTCATGGCGGAGCTGAGCGAGGCGCTGCTCTCGGTGTTGCCGTCCATCCGGGTGCCCAAGGCTGGCGACCGCGTCCACAAGGACGAGTGCGCCTTCTCCTTTGACACGCCGGTAAGCGCGGCCCGCGGCCGGACCGCCCGCCCGTCCGGGCTGCCCCCCGCTCCGGCCCGCTCCCAGCGCACTCGTTCGCCGGGGTGCCGCCCGCGCGGGGCGCAATGGGACTTGTGGTTCCTCGGCGGCCTGAGCGGCCCGCGGCCTGAGCGGAGCGCGGGGCCTTCGGGGACTACAGCGCCCGGCGTGCCCCGCGACGTGCCCCTCCCTGCCGCGGCGCGCTGGGGGCTGTAGTTCTGTGGCCGGAGCGGGCGTGGGCAGGTCGCTCGCCCGTGCTGCCCGGCCTGGACACCCCGGCGAGTTGGTGTCCTCCGACCCTCGCTCCGCTGAGGGGGCTTCCCGGGACTTGCAGTCCGGCGGGAAGCGGGGCGCTCCTCAGGCCCAGCTCTGGTCGTTGTGGAGCAGACCGGGGGTCCCGCCCTGTCCGGGTCTGAGCTGCTTCCCCCCCCCCCCTCGGCCTCACAGGGTGGCGTGGCCCGGCAGGCAAGGGGGGAGTCGATGCTGTGTCATTAAGATGGCAGTGGTCCCTTCTCCAGGCGTCTCCACCCCGCTGGCATCCCTGCTCCTCCCTCCCTATCCCCGCCTGGCCTAGGCGGACCTGGGGAGGCCCCGGCGGCGGGGGGCGAGGTCTTTCCCTTGACCTCCTCCGCAGGCGCCCATCCAGGCTGTGCCCCAGCCCACCAGAAGAAACGGGCAGCGGCTGGAAGATACGGGTCCTTCCTTCGAGGAAACAGCACACAGCAGCTTGTTTCTCTTTGCTCTCC